TCAGGGTGTACTGAGGGCCCGAGGGCGGAAAGTCACATTTTTTTGCTCTGGGGGTGCTGTGTCGATCGACTGAACAAACGATAGGGTTAACATTTGAGTGTGCCCTCTATCCAGGTTTGGCTGCCAGTTTGGCTCCATAGTCTTTTCAGTTTTGTTTTCCGCTTTGCGCAAGGTTTTGTTTTTTTGTTATGCGTTGGAAGGTTGTTTTGAACGTTTCCAACGCTAAAAACTATGGAGCCAGACTTGGGCACATAGTCTTTGCAGTTTTGCCTTTCTGTGCTTTTGTGAAAACAAGAGGCTTGGACACCTTTTCCTAAACACTTGCAAAAACGGTATGCTTTCCAACTGAAGAGGCCATGGAGCCAGACCTTGCTCGAATAACTCCAGTCAAGTCCAACTTTTCTAGAAAAGTCGAGAGCGACAAACCTTTTGACATTGCGAGTAGCTTTGGCTTTCCAAAGGCCGAGACACAGCGAAGACTTGTGTTTGTTGGGTACAAGTCAAGCTTGTCTCAAACCGTCGCAAATCGGGCGCAATTTGACTTCTTAACTTGTTGCAACCATTTCCCGGCTTTGGCGCTAATAGTGGTCTCGACACTGGCTAGCTGGGCCCACATGCGCCTGGACATTGCTGGGAACATTTGGGCAGTCAAGCAGAAACACAATATATTTGTTTTTTGACAACGTCAGCTGCAACCAACTTTCAAGATACCAGTTGTCAAGACAAGTCCAGCTTCAAGTGAGACAAAGAGACCAACTATGATGGGAGTCACTGAATGTTGCAAGTTGGGAGATAAGTTTCTTGTGAAAGCTAATGTTGATTTAGGACGCGCCCCCAAGCCTATTTTAGGACTCTTTAAAGAACACATGTGATGAGGCGAATGCATTGATTATGCTGCGCAAAGCACTCTGATCACATATGGCTTCAGCAGAACCATCGACGCGTTGTGCATTGTTCGTTGGTTGTGTGAAGATCTCAATTGCGCTGCGCAGTCATATTCGCGAAGGTCAAGTGCCCTTGGCTCGACTTGGAATCCAATTCAGCTGTGGGCGTTACCACCCCTCCAGGCCGTTTGCGTTGCTTTGCGTGTTGCTTCGTCGGGACTTTGCTTTGGATGGGAGGAAACTTTAAGAAGCTGGATTGAGTGCGTGCTTTTATGACGTGACATAATCTTGAAGTCAAAAGGTCGAGTGTAAGTCAGTATGAGATCAAGGTGCGGATGGTGAGATCAAGCCTTGCCTTGAAGTATGATTACAAGACTCACCCTCACTGGAAACTGTGTTGTATATGGGATGCCCGAATTGCCGACCCAAGGCAATCAAGGCATGCGTGGGTGAATCAAGTGTTTTACCAGTGTTCCATGGAACGGGTAACTGGACAACACTTTTATGGAGAGAGTTGTTCGAGTCACCATGGCCTACAAATTTGGTTGTAGTGAGACAAAAGGGATTGTCATACGCCGTGCCTTTTGAAACTACCCAGCGGGCACCGTGAGTTGCTGGAATAATTTGAATAGTGCTTTTAGGAATATATAGTTTTGCCGAATAATTGAACAATATTTTGGAGGGGAGGCGGGGGTTCGTGGAAAAACATATTTGTAACATGTTGCTTTTGTAGATGTTATGCTACCGGTATGATGTGGCTGATGAGAGGCATGGAATGGACAGCAGCAAAAACTATATGTTCATAGGTTTTCGCTTGTTGGGAAATTACTTGATTTTTGCATATACGGGTCTTAATCTGAGCATGGCCTGGACGTTGTTATGTTTTCTGTCGTTTGTAGATTTCAGATAATTTCAAAGACAACGTGGACGAGAGCTGGCCGGTTGAATGTGTTCTGGACCAAAGTGCCAGGGTTATTTGATTATCTATTTTATGTTTAGACATTATTGCATTGAATTATTCCATTCCAGAAATCAAATGAGGCCAGGAATAATTTTTGGAATCAACCTGCTAGCGCGGAGGGATGTTATTTTCAAAGGACATTCAAGAACTGTTCACCCACTCATCAATACACCACTCATCATACACCACTCATCAATACACCACTCATCATACACCACTCATCATACACCACTCATCATACA